TCCTCCTCCTCCTCCTCCTCCTCCTCCTCCTCCTCCTCCTCCTCCTCCTCCTCCTCCTCCTCCTCCTCCTCCTCCTCCTCCTCCTCCTCCTCCTCCTCCTCCTCCTCCTCCTCCTCCTCCTCCTTTTCCCTCTGCTTACCCGCTTCGCCTCAAGGTCGATACGGCCTGCAGTGTCTTTGAAGTGAAGAAGTCAATCTTCCTAATGAGGTATTTACTTTGCCCACCACAAAGTGTCTCCCTGAAAATGGCAAAACATTTTCTGTTAAGAGGTTTGAAAGGCATTCATTTTGAAATAATGCTCCAATGCATTATGTACAACGAAGGTGAGCATTTCTCTCTGCCTCTCTCACACTTTGCTCCTTCTCGCTGGGTTGAAATTTCTCAGGAGAGCCGCAGCCGAGATGCAGGAAAAAGAGCAGTGGGATCCCCCACCATGGTATTTAGTGACACAAGCAGAATTAGGCATACCTGCGTTACTGACAGGCAAAGTGTTAATCGAAAGTGGGGAATAGAACATCAGATGAAGAATAGACCATCATTAGATCATCAGCATCAATTTGATCGGATATAGAGAGTTCCTTCTCCTCCCTTTCCGATTTTCCATTGAAAATGTGACAAAAACTTAATTTTAACGGTGCAGGCTTATAGTTTTTTGTGGTTAAGTCAAAACATTGATGTTGTGATCTCAGTGGTGCCCTCATCATCCTTCTTTGCTTAAGCAATAAACATTTCCTCCCTACTGCTGCGCCTTGTGCTGTCCCCGGAGATGACTCACTTGGAGATTCAAGGAATGACTCAACCCTACAAATTTGGGAAGCAATCCTGATACCCCAAATGGCAGATCAAAGCATTATAGAGATGGGAGACACCTATTTCCACAACAGACGGACCCTAGACGTCCTGCGAATTCAATCGCGAGCAAGATCAACACTAGTAGACAAGTATATTGCAAATTACTAGGGCTCCTTTGGAAATTGTGTGCATTTGACCGTGTACTGTGTAAGGTCACGCTACTCTCCCGTAGGATTTCATTGGATCATTGTGTTCTGCCGGTTCGGTCTTCATTCTGCTGTCATGCCTCTGGTCTGCACAAAAGTTCACCAGTCCTTCCACAGTTTATTAATGAGCCTGCTATAAAGTAGTAGCCATCATTAAAATATTTTCTAGTTTACTAGAACACTTTGACGTTGACAATTCCAATTCCAGATGCTAGAAGTCGTGTCGTTCGGTTTATAAAAGGAAAGTATCGCAGACTTACCACTGTCAAATAGGACATCTTATCAGCACGGTAAAAGAAGTTGTAATTACTTCTGGTGGCCCAGGTGGATGCGATAAAATGCAGGCGTCGCGTATTTCGGAGGGTTCATCCATCGTCAAATCCCTCTTGAGTTTGTAGGGTGGGAAGAAGAAAACTGTCAAAAGTAAAAGCGATGATGCCAGTACTTTTGATATAAAGGTGTGAAAGCGAAAGTGGACACGCTTAGAGTAGGTTACTGCTGCAATTTGTCAAAAGTTGGCGTTGTTTTGCATTTACTACTCGAATATTTTACCAGGCTCCTAAAATCTGGTTCTGGTTTACTCTCTCTGAATGGCTATTACTACCTACAGGCAGTCACTAAATATGCCGGTGATGGCCACAGTGTATAAAGCCAAACAAAAGACCGTGACGGGGTGAGAATGGAACCACCCTGATTTCCACCACTCAGCTGAGCATCGGATGAGCACACACCACACATCTAGGTTAGTAGTACTCGCTGACAAATAGAAACCTCCGCGTTGAAGGACCTGCCTCCTGATTACTACAGTTGGCAACTCGGCAGAATGCTGTTGCACATAAAGGAGCATTTGGGCTTTCAATGCATACACGGCAGACGCTTTGGCATGGAGGTTTACTCACCCAGACTACAAATGTGTTATTCCACATTCTTATGACTTCGAAACCGAACAATCTGGCGTGGACCTAATTATAAGGCCACGACACGGTGGGTGTTAGTATTATTAGCTGTTAACTAGCCACTACTAACTAGCTGACTTATGCGCCTTTTCAGTAGTTATCAGTCTCGTGACCTCTTCTTGTGACATCCGTTATAAACATGCTACATCTCACCGATGATTGAGTCTTTAAAGGACCATCCTTTGGAGTCCTCTCCCAAGGTGAAAAGACCTAGTCACAGATGTTTAAAAGTGCCGCCAGACTGGATTATTAGCTACAGGGGTCGGAAGTGTAGAGCGCCACACCACCAAGATGCAATGACCTTGCAGTTTCCGAGCACTTCCTTGAATGGTGTCTAAACAAAGTGTCAAGTTCTATTAAGGAGCAGGATACCACTTAGCGAGCTCTTAAGCAGAGTCTGCAATAGTATGTACACTGAGGGTAAAAAGGTTGCTATGACTTGCTTGTTTATTTTTATGCACAAAAATGTCAAAAAATGTCAAAATCTCGAGGCTTAGTAGATGATTCACCCTCACACATGGTGTAGTTTTTGCCTAGATGGCAATGCTTAGCTCATTCAATTAAAGTAGATTCCTACTGTTGTGAATTTTGTGTTTTTGTTATTGGCCTCTTTATGAAGAAATGTTAAATAGAATTCGGCATTTTTTTATTTCCTTTATCGTTAGCGTTCAAGAGCTCTCTGGTTTGTTCGAGGTTTGGTTGAGGTAGGTAAATAATGGAGAGGAAAAGGCCTATTTTACCCACCGGGAAGAAGCTAAAGAAATCTGTTCATTTTTTGCAGGGTTTGGCACTCGTTGATAATGTTCCAGTTGATAATTGTTACAATTTTGACTTTTGGCATCACACAACTCTCCGAATAGCGTACGAAATGGAAGAGATGTTTCCTTCACAAAGTAGAATTAGAGAGATAGAGGTGACAAGAATGAAACTGTATGAACTGTAGAAATTAAAATTTTTAGAAAAGAAAGGACCTTTTATGACATTAAAGCAGGGGCTATCTAATAACGAGGAGTTATAGGCCTGTGCTGTTGCGTATAAAGGCGGTATGATGGTTTTGCAGGCTAGGTCCTTCCACGATTTAAGTGTTTGTTCTTATGTTTGCCTCCTCAGGGATTTACATGTAAGGCTAGAGGTGGCACGGTAAGCAAATGCCAATGGGTTTTTTGGTTGGGCAGCTGCACTAAATGAAGGCCAAGTGGTGTATAAACCCCCTTCATCATAATCTACTTAATTTCAGTCTATCTGCAGCTTGAATGTTTATTTTCTCCTCACCACTTATAAGAAATGAAATAGACTCTACCTTGGCTTCGTAGAAAATATAGCCCGATTAAGAGGTATCCTTAGTCTGGTCCTTTATTTACTCACTTAACTTGGAGCTCGATTGCAATATCCTAAAAAGGAACCCCATAACTTTAAATAATGTATTCTTGCTCTTTGGAATTCCCTTCCCGTAATTCGTCAATCTTCTACTTTCTCTGACGTCAGTGTTCAAGTATTCTCTGAAGAGTATTCAACAAATCACACAGATGCAGTTTTCCCCTCCTCGAGTATTCGAAGTTTGGTCTTAGCAGGTGAATAATGGAGAGGAAAGGGCAGTAGAGGAGAAGTTGGAGAAGAAAGACTGTTCACGAAATTACTTGTATTAATTAGTTGCCTAAGCTCATTTTACCCACAAGGAAGAAGCCAAAGAAATCTGTCTATTTTTCGTTAGGTTACGATTTGTCTGCATGGCTGCTGGTGGATAATATCCCAGGTGGTTGAAGCCCCTGAAATTCTACATGTCGACTTAGGGCCCCTTCCTAGTAGTGTTATAACAGCCATTTTATTAAACCTCTCATTGACCCCCTAAGTATTAGTAGATGAAAGCTGTTCACTAGAGGAGATCTTGAAGGTGGCGAATTCAAGGCGCAAATGAACTTTACGATTCCTCTCTCCTGAGTGATGGCTGGTAAAATACGTCCCGAGAGCTTCTTTTAGGATGTCAAGCTGCAGACCTAGGTAGTGATTCTCAGACCTCGTAAAAAAGGAACAAAAAATACGAAGAGGTATGGCGTAAATTTAATTGGCCCCCTCTCAGTTGACATTGATGACGGGAATGGCTAAGGGAAAGGTAAGACCTTCGTTTGTCAGGCTTGACAACGTCCTCAAATGAAGTAGCGATCGTTTGGGTGACAGTGAAGAGGCGTTCCAGCTTCACATTATCACACAATTCTAGTCTCCGATTAAAACAAGCAGTTTGCGTCCAACTTTCCCCCAATGTTTCTGCATTATGTAGGCAAATAATTAAAATAGCTGTTTGCCCCTCTTCTGCTTCTTCATTGCCCCTACCCATAATGCCTCCTCAATGAGACCGACTTGCTGGCAATTTTGACTTCTTTTCAAAGTGTTTTATTGCCACATGACGTTTTACTTCTTGGCTATTTTTTCTCCCGTTGAATAAGGTGGTGAAAAGATGAGGCGAAGGTTACATGCACGCCAACATGGGTAGTAGAGGTGGGGAGAAGGAGATAGACTTTAGCCTCTGATTGTTTGGCTTTCGGCAAGTCCGTCTGGACTACACACACATACACGCATACACATGAGTCATGTCTGGATGGTGGTGTGGTGCCTGCTTCCCAATTGTAGAGTGAGCAGTTTGTGGTGGGTTAGTAGACCCTAACCAGATATGTCGACGTTGGCTTGACATTAAGAGAGACGACAGACAACCACAGAAGGAAGCACTTGGAAGCACCCGAAAACTGTCCAAAATGTCTCCTTGGAGTGGAGAAGAAATGACATTTTTTCATACCACAGCTGAGAATACCTCTAGGTGGATGTAACGACTGCTTTCCTGTCAATTAGCTCCACAAAGCGGACAGTAGGTGGATCCACATTCCCCTTTTTTCCGTCCCTATTAGCCCTTTTATTTGTTCATTCTA